GAGGGCATTTCTCTAGGGAATGTCCTGCTCCAAGAAAATCCAATTTAGGAAAACCTCAACAAGAAGGTGCAGATATGTTAGCGTTTTATGTAGAAAATAATAATACTTGCAACGCTGAAGAGTATAATTGGATCTTAGATAGTGGTGCTTCCGCTCATATGACTTTTAGAAAGGATTTCTTTTTGGAATTGTCAGAATGCAACCAAAAATCATTAACATTGGGAAACAAACAATCAGTGGAAGTATCTGGTATTGGCAAAGTGTTAATAAAGAGATATGTCAATGGGCAGTGGGAGACTAGTGAACTGCATAGTGTGCTGTATGTTCCAAGTTTGAGAAGGAATTTATTTTCAGAAGGGGTGATTATACGCAAATCATATTCTCTTATAAAAAAGGATAAAAATGCCTTAATTTACAAAGATAATAAGGTGGTAATGAGTGCAAAAATCACAGAAAACAACTGATATGTATTGAATATTAAAACAGTGATTCCAGATACTTGTAACTTGGTTCAAAATAGTCAAAGTGACATCAAAATGTGGCATGAAAGACTGGGACATATTAAGTTAAAACAAATAAAAACCATGAGTGCAAATAGTGTGGCTGAAGGCCTGAAAGTAATTGAGGATGGACAAAGTGACTTTGTTTGTGAAGCATGTGCATATGGGAAGCAGTTCAGGTTCCCATTCCACAAATCTCAGAGAAGAGAAATACAGCCTGGGGACCTAGTATATAGTGATGTCTGCGGACCAATGAGTTGCTCATCAATTCAAGGTATGAGATATTTTCTACTATTCAAAGACGCTGAAACGAGTTACAGGCATGTGTATTTTATTAAAAACAAAAGTGATGTCTTGGAAGTGTTCAAGAAATACAATGCTATAATTAAAAATAAATTCATGCATAATGTCAGAACTTTACATACTGACAATGGAACAGAGTATGTCAACAAAGCTTTCAAAGAGTATTTAGACCGAGAATGTATAGTTCATGAACGCACTGCACCATATACGCCAGAACAAAATGGTCGTGTAGAACGAGAAAATAGAACCATTGTAGAGAGTGCACATTCAATGTTGTATGCACGAGATGTGCCATTGGATTTATGGGGATAAGCTGTGAACTGTGCAGTGTATTTATTAAATAGAACATGTTCTACTCAAACTCCAAACACAACACCTTTTGAATTATGGAATGGTATTAAACCTCAGTTAGGTCATGTAAAGGTGTTTGGTAATATCGGTTATGTTCATATCCCAAATCAATTAAGGACAAAATTAGATAAGAAAAGTGAGAAAGTAATGCTAGTGGGCTATGATAATACCAACTACAGAATGTGTGACATAAACACCAAGAAAATAAAGATATCAAGAAATGTCATTTTTGATGAACAGCAAGTACCAAAGTCAAGAAAGAATATTGCACAAATAAGCATTACTGATGAAGTGTCAAATATAAACCAGAGTGAACCAGAAACCTTAAGTCAAAGCGAAGCAGAAGCAATTAGTTTCAGAAGTACATTGATTGATTCTTCTTCAACAGAGAATGAAGATAGCTGGTTAAGTTGTAGTAGTGAAAACTGTGATGACCCAACATATGAACCATCTCAAGAAGTAGAAGACTCAATAGCACATAATATAAATTTGAGACCACGACTTAATAGAAATTTTGAAGCTAATCTTGTAGAGCTGTCATTGCCCCAAACATATGCTGAGGCACTAAATAGTTGTAAAAGGATGAATGGTGTAAAGCTATAAAAGAAGAATTCTCTGCACACCAAGAAAATAATACTTGGACAGCTGTCAAGAGGTCCGGTCAACGAACCCTCACTACAAAATGGGTTTTTACTATAAAGAAAAATGAAAATAATGAAATTGTACGCTATAAAGCTCGTTTATGTGCACGTGGGTTTAAACAGATCAAAGATGTTGATTATGATGAAATTTTCTCTCCAACAATACGTTATGATTCTATCAGGATTATTCTTTCTGTTGCTGCTAGGTATAATTTAGAAATTCAACAGTTTGATGTGAAAACTGCTTTTCTTAATGGCTATCTCAAAGAAAACATTTTTATAGATATACCTGAAGGTTTGTCAATTAAAAAAGATTATGTATTAAAATTAAACAAGTCACTGTATGGCTTAAAGCAAGCATCTCGATGTTGGAACAAAAGGTTCACAGAGTTTTTAATGAAATACGGTTTTGTACAGTCTCAGGCTGACAATTGTATTTATATAGGAACTTTTAAGGAAACTAAGGTTTAGTAGGCCAAAACCTCCTTTCTAAGGAGAGGCCTATGTCCAGCAGTGGACTAGTATAGGCTGTTGATGATGATTGATGAAGGTTTTCTTAATAATGTATGTCGATGATGCTCTTGTAATTTCTTCAGATAAACAACTTATTGTAGAAATTATAGAGTACTTGAAGCAGGCTTTTAAAGTCAAGGAGTTAACTTTAAAATATTTTGTGGGCATGCAAATAGAGAGGGTAAATAATAATATCTTTATTCATCAGGAAAATTATATAAATCAAATTATTGAGAATTTTTTTATGAATTAAGTCCGCCTTTGCCACATTTGTGCATAAAGTTTTAAATAAATAAATAAATGTAGATGAAAATATTGTTGATTTTCCTTAGAGGGAAGCTATAGGTTGTTTGCTATCTTTAAGTTCTGTTTCAAGGCCTGATATTTCATTCTCTGTAAATGTATTAAGCAGATATGTGAACAACCCGAGTCAGCTACATGTAAATGCTGTTAAACGTGTAATTAGATACCTAATTAATACTAAAAAATTATGTATAAAATATGGAGAATGTACTGGTCTACTTGGATATTCAGTTTCAGATTTTGCAAATGATCTTGATACTCGTAAATCTACTACAGGGTATATTTTTATATTGAATGGAGGACCAATTACATGGTCCGGTCAGAAACAGAAGACCATTGCTCTTTCCACAACTGAAGCAGAATTTGTGGCTGCTTGTGAATCTGCTAAGGAGATTTTGTGGTTGCGACAACTTTTGTTAGATTTAGGTGAAAGTTGTGATTATATTACTTTAAATGTTGATAACCAGAGCGCTATTAAGTTGATTAACAACCCTGTTTATCACAAGAGAACAAAGCATGTAGATGTTAAGTATAGCTTTGTTAGGGAAAAGGTTGAGTTGGGCTTGATTAAAGTTAATTATGTTCCTAGTAAAAGTCAATTAGCTGATATTTTGACTAAAGCATTACCGGTCCAAACTTTTGTTTATTTGAGAGATCAGATTTTATTTCATTAATATTGTTAGTTTCATAGAACTATTAAATTTATGTACTTAGTTAAAATTTAGTGGGAGTATTGGTAATGTTGAAAATTTTAACTTCACATGCTGGCAACATTGTATCTATGGTAACTTATTGTAAATGGTTTTCTTGCTTGCTGTACGTTGTGAAGATAAAAGTTATCAGACTTATCAGTGAATATTTCAATAATCTCTAAAACTTTGTTAACCTAATTTTAAATGTAAGCATGTTGTGGTCCGAGCTTATCACACCCTCGTTTACTCTCTAGTCTTCAACCAGGTTTAGCATCTTCTCTGAGCAGGCCGTGATGTCTACCGAGCTGGTATGCCTCTTGTTTCCCCTTATTGTATCAAAGGTAGGGATGTTGCTGTCGTTGAATATCTGCAAGCCTGTCTCTTCAAGGAATCCTGCCATTTCTTCGCCTTTCCGATCAATTTTTATTAGGTACCTCGGTTTTTCCTGCTGTTTTATCCTCCTCAGCTGCTCCAAATAGGGCTCTATGCTCGCTGGGTCGGGCTCTAGGTAGAAGGAGGCAACCACGATCTCCCAGGCACTCGTTCTTAGTTTCACCACAGTGATGTTGTTTGTGGTGAGATTCGGCAGTTGGATAACATACATTTCCTCATCGAAGACTGCTATGGCTGCCTTTATAGTGCCATCTCCTTGACTTGTGTTCTGGAAGATCTTGCCCCCCCCCCCCCGTAGTTCTTCATTCTACTAATCGCTCCTACGTACGGTTCTTGAATTAGCGCAACAGCCATCCTCTTTTAGCTAGCCATAAGCATGATCTCGTGTGTTGCCAGTTCTTTTCTTTGTAGGTTTGCTTGGGCTATGAGGTAAGCTTTCGTGCCAGCCGAGGGGGATTTTGCACCCCGGCCACCTTAATACTGGTATGCTATCGTGGCTCGCGCTATCGTCTCCCACCTGCGCCTGATGGGGCACTCGTTGCTGAAAGCGTTGTGCTCGGCTCTATCCAGCTTTGCCCGCAGGCAGTTACAGCACGAGGGGGTTGCTCCTGCAAGCCAATCTGCGCAATCTACTTTCTTGTGCAGACCCCGCAGTGGCTGCAATTCTATATGGTCACTTTGCAGAATCGTCGTCCATGCCCATATCCTAGGCAGAGTGAGCATTGGACCAGTGGCGACTGGTCTGCCACTCTCACTCGTTGGAGGTCTATCATGACCGATTCTGCATCAACCAGGCGCTTCCAGACTCCAGGGGATACCCTCATAATCGCCCTATTTGCCTGGGGGTTTCGGAAGCGCTTCTTGTACAAGATTTCCACCTTTTTTTCTTTCTCTTCTAAGTCTTTCAGTGTCTTTGTGTTTTGCTTCCACAGGGCGCTTATAATTTCTTCGTCGCTGTTATATTGGAAGACGTCCTTCAGTATCACTAATGGATCCTTGTTTTTTACTTCTTGCTCTTTCAGCGCTTCCGCTCCCCGGAGCCTTTCCTTTACCTGCTCCCTATCCTTCTCTGTTCTGTGACTACTACCGAGTGTAGTGCGGCCCGCTCCGGGGGCTGTCTCCAGGGAGGCGTCGCTGCCACACTCGCGTACGTCATCTTCTCCTGTGTGTCTTGGTGCTTCTCGATCGTCTCTCTCAGTCTTTTACAGTGTCGGTGGGCTCCCAGTTGCCTCCGTCGATGTTCTTCGGGCATCGATGTTCGTCGATGTTCCGGTTTTACTGTCCTGCGAAAGGGTCCTCGTGGATTACTTTGGCTTCGGGGGTTCCACCGACACAGCTTTCTTCGGTGGGGTGGTCATCTTTATGGGAGCATCAATAGGTTTCCCCGACTCCCGTTGTCCTATGCTCCTACGTACAAATGTTGGGCGCGTTTCCGACACTTTTACTTCGTCACGTTCCTGCGGAGGCTGAGCTTGTCTACTCGCTTGCCCAGATAATGTTGTGCTTTGTTTCGCGTTTGTAGGATTTGTGCCCTTTGTGGGAGTGCGGATTCCCATCATTTTAAAAATGCTTGTCGAAGGAACACGTCAAATTGTATATAGTATTAATAAAAATGGCAAAGGTTTGTATAAGTTGTAAATAGTTAATACATTTGTAAATCAGTAAGATTCAGATAAAGACTCCAATGATGAAGTCATCTCGCAAACAAAGGCCTATTTTGAGGATCTCGACAAATCATATTTTTTGAAAGGGATAAAAAAATTGGAGAAGCGTTGGACAAAGTGTATAGAGCTCAAGGGAGACTACGTTGAAAATAAAATGATTTATTTATCAAAAAATCTGTGTTTTATTCCAAAAGTCACGGCCTTATTGACTTACAAAATTGTAAACAAAAGTTTAATGAAACGGTTACACAATATAGCCTACGATTAGAGACATATTTAACGCGATTACAAACTGACATCACACATTCTACTAGGGATCCTAGTGAATTAAAGGGCCGAATCGCCAGCACAGAAGACTTAGCACTGCATACGTTCTTGATGGGCTTACCGAATCATATCTCTAACGTTTCAATATGTCGCAACCCTACAACTTTACACGAGGCTATAAACCTTGCTATTCAGGAGGAAAAACTACAAAATTATATTCAGTTTACTAGACCAATTGAAAATAAACTTAGGTGTAAAATATGCGGTAAAATAGGTCATTCGGATAGAAATTGTTTCAACAATCGACAACGTCCTGTACATACTCTTAGTAACCAACCTCAAATATCCTACCAATCACAACCCTCTTCCTCTTTTAATGCGCAAAATAATACCAATTTATTCTGTAAATATTGTAAAAATCCCGGTCACGACATAACGCAATGTCGAAAGCGCCAATATAATAATTCCCGTAACAATTATTCAACTAACAAGCCACAAAGGCAAGTTAACAATGTTGTCGAACTAGCTTACTCTGAAATTCAAGATTTTAACTGTAATTCATTAGAGTCAAACACGTGTGATCATTTAAACTGAATAAGATTCCGGTCCCGCGTCGTACGGAATCATCAATACAAACCGACGCTGACGCCTCTAATATCCCCTTAACTATATCTAATAAAACTTTTATGTTAAGTAATACTCGTAATAAGAACCATATTAATTTTACTAAATCTAATATCCTTACTAAATCCTTTACATCTCAACCCCAGCAGTTGAATCATAATACTAATCTTACTATTTCTACATCTCGCGTTAATAAGCCGAGTCCTACTATTTCTACTAAAGCATTTACATCTCAACCTCAGTGGTTGAGTCATAACGTTAATGGTACCAATTCTACTATTTATACATCTCCAGCTAGTAAGCGGAGTCCTACTATATCTCTAACATCTCAACCGAAGCAGTCGAGTCATAATAATAATATTAAGTCTACTATTTCTACATCTCGGGAAAAACTGAGTCTTACTATTTCTCCTATGTCTAATACATCTCAACCACAGAAGTTGAGTCTCGAAAACTATCATACTAAATCTACTATTTCTCCTAAATCCTCTACACCTCTACAATTGCAGGTGAATTATACCACGATTCATCATAATAATAGCAAGCCAAATACCCTTAAAAAGTCTACTAATTCTAAAACGACCATATCCGTCAGTCCTACTAAATCTTACAATTGCTTAGAAAACCGTTTCAGTACACCATTTAATTTAACAGAAAATAATAAATGTAATTCAGAAATACAATCTAATATATTTCAACTTAATTACAATAAGAAAACGCATTTGCCTCATATCTATGTCAAGACGAAATATACAAACAAATTACTAGTTCTATTAATCGATTCCGGTGCAGGAATCTCTCTAATAAAAGGTAGTTCTTTACAAGTTCAACCCAAATTAACACCCGAAAGTGTCCAGTTTAAAGGCATTGATAAAGACGCCGAATATTTTAAGAGCTTGGGACATTTTCAGTTAGATTTTATATTTCAGAATAATAAAACTGTTTTCGGTAAATTTCACGTCATATCAGACTGTGTAGATATCGAATTTGATGGTATAATTGGTAATGACTACCTAAAATCTCATAATGCTAATATCGATAATAAACATAACGTCTTAGATATACATGGTAACTTAATACGAATTTATTTCACTAAACCCGAATATATCATTCCATCGCGCTCGGAAAAGCTTATAGAATGTAATGTACTAAATCCTGAAGTAATCACGGGTTACGTCGATAAGTCTGAAATTCAGAAAGGTGTATTTATGTCTAGTTGTCTTGTTACTCTTAAAGGAAATAATCATGTCACTGTTTCAGTCCTCAACACTAATAATAAGGAAGTAACAATAAAATCCCTTTGTGTAGAACTAATTCCCTGTGATTTGATAGAAGAATTTTCATATAAAATTAATTCTATTAATCATTCTTGGAATTAGAAGTAAGTAAAAGTATTGGTGTCAAACAGATCTCACGAAGTTCAGAAACTGATACGGACTTCCCACCTTAACCCTGAAGAATCAACGGCTTTACTTGACTTATGCTCAGAATACTCAGATCTGTTCCACTTAGAAGGAGATACTCTTACTTGTACAAATACCTTAGAACATAAAATCAAAACAACTATTTCACAGCCTATTCATGTCAAAACATATAGATATCCCGAATGACATAAAGAAGAAGTCAACAAACAAATAAAGAAAATGCTAGATCAAAACATAATAAAACCCTCTGATTCCCCCTGGTCTTCTCCTATTTGGGTGGTACCAAAGAAGCAAGATGCTTCTGGCCAAAAGAAATGGCGTATTGTCGTAGACTATAGAAAACTGAATGATATTACTGTCGGAGACGCTTATCCTATTCCTAATATTACAGAGATCCTAGATCAATTAGGTCATAGTAAGTACTTCAGTACGTTAGACCTGGTGTCAGGTTTCCACCAGATTGGTATGAGCACAGAAGATGCTCCCAAAACTGCTTTTTCGGTCCCTACTGGCCACTTCGAATATACTCGAATGCCTTTTGGGTTAAAAAATGCACCTGCCACTTTCCAAAGATTGATGAATACCGTGCTTTCCGGTCTCCAAGGTCTCCACTGCTTCATATATTTGGATGACATCATCTGCTATTCTCACTCACTCTCTTCTCATATAGATAAACTTAAACTCATATTCGAGGCTCTTAGAAAGCATAATCTTAAGTTACAGCCAGATAAGTGCGAGTTCCTAAGACGGTAAGTCTCATATTTAGGTCATACTATTACCGATAAAGGCGTATCTCCTAACCCCGACAAGGTAAAAGCCGCATCAAACTATCGTACTCCCAGAAACCCGAAGGAAATAAAATCCTTCCTTGGCCTGATAGGATATTATAGAAGATTCATAAAGGATTTCTCGAAAATTACAAAACCTCTAACTTTATTACTTCGTAAAGATTCTACTTTCGATTGGACTCAAAATCAAGAAAATGCTTTTAATACTCTTAAGTCGATGTTGACAAGTGCTCCCATTCTTCAATATCCTGATTTCTCGAAAGATTTTATACTAACAACAGATGCTTCAAATTATGCCTTAGGTGCAATTCTTTCACAGGGCGAAATGGGCAAAGATCTCCCTATTGCATATGCTTCTCGAACTCTTAATAGAGCAGAGGGTAATTATAGTACCACCGAGAAAGAACTTCTAGCAATCTTGTTTGGAGTCAAAACTTTTCGACCTTATATCTACGGTAGAAAGTTTAAAATAGTAACTGACCACCGTCCTCTTGTTTGGCTTTTTAATTGTAAAGATTCCTCAAGTAAACTAGTTCGATGGAGACTTAAATTAGAAGAATATGACTACGAAATCGTTTATAAGTCCGGTAAAACAAATCTTAATGCTGATGCCTTATCTCGTCCTCCCATATATAATATTGATGATATAGATCTTAGTAATGATATAACTTATGGAAATTTCCTTCGATCTCGTTCTAGTCCAATGGTTTTTACTACTGTAGTTCACGAATTCAATCAAAGTCTTTTGAAGACATCCTGCAATACTATTGCTTATCCGACATCAATCGATCTAGATTCTTCTAACCCTTACTGTGATGAAATAATTAACCTTTTAGATAACGTAGAAGTCTTTAAAAACTCTGAAAAGGAATTTTATTTTATAAAAACTTCCAATATTAATAATAAAACATATTTTCACATGTTTACTAAAGTACATCATTATGACTCTTGTAATTACAGAGACATATTTAACGTATTAAACAATCTTCATAATGAATTAATTATATTTCATCCCGATGTAAAAGAAATCTCTATGTCTGATTTTTCCAATCCATTTGACAAGCTTCAATTTTTAATGATCTATGAAATCATTTGTTTTATTTTCCATAACACTAATATCACCGTAAACATATATCATAATAAAATAATTTACCCAACCCCTAACGAAGTTCCTACAATATTGAAAGATAATCATGATTCGCCTATTGGCGGACATATTGGTTCACCGCGGTTATATAATAAATTAAAGGAATCTTACTACTGGAAAGGTATGAAAAACGATATTGAATCGTATATTAAACGTTGTCCACTTTGCCAACAAAATAAAGCTCTACGCGCCTGTAATAAAGCTCCAATGGAAATAACTTCTACTTCTCTCGAACCTCTCCAAAGAGTATCTACTGATATTGTTGGTCCTTTACCCGAATCCGGTTCTGAAAGATATAAATATATAGTTACTTTTCAAGATGATTTGACAAAATATTCCATGGCCTATCCTATTACTAACTCAACGGCTGAACAAACAGCTGATTGTTGAATTAAATTTATCTGTCACTTCGGCATTCCCAAAACTCTATTATCTGATCAAGGTGTTTATTTCATTGCAGAAGTATATAAACAAATCACATCTCTATTTAAAATTAAACATCTCTTTTCTACTCCATATCTTCCTCAAACTAATGGGGCTCTTGGACGAAGTCATGCCACTTTAAAAGAATATTTAAAGTCCTATGTCAACGATAATCAAGACGATTGGCACAAATATCTTCCAACAGCTATTATTTCTTACAAT